ATTGACTTTTTATGTTATTTTGTCCTATTTGTTGTTTGCTTCACAATTAAAAAAAATAAAAAAAATCTTCAAAGTTGTGGGCATGTTCTGTAAATTAAATGATGCAAATCCTCAAACAATCCATGTTAATTCCAGGTTGTGAGGCAACAAAACCAAGGGGGGTGAATATTTTGCAAGGCACTGTATGTAGAAGAGGATAAAGGTCTAGTTGACTGCCTCAATTAATATTTTTTGTTCAGTATTTACAGAAGGAACGGGGCCTCAGTTATGAAAAAGGATAAATGAGTAATTAGTTACATGTGAGTTTACAGAGGAAGAGGTTCTATTTCAACTGTCAAAAATAAAGATAAATAAGTCAATGGGACCTGATGGAATATACCCAGAGTTATTAAAGAGCTTAGTGGTGTTCTAGCAAAACCATTAACAGATTTATTTAACCAATCATTGTTAACATGAGTAGTCCTAGAAGTTGAGTAGTCCCAGAAGTTAGCAAATGTTGGGCCCATTCACAAGAAAGGTTGTAGGGAGGAGTCGGGCAACTATAGTCCAGTAAGCTTTACTTCATTAGTGGGGAAAGTAATGGAAACCATGTTAAAGGATAGGATTGTTGAACATCTAAAAACACATGGATTTTAAGATCAGAGACAACATGGGTTTACGTCAGGGAGATCATGCAAACTAATCTCATTTATTTTTTTGATTGGGTAACTAAAATAATAGATCTGGGTGGTGCAGTAGACATTGCTTACCTAGATTTCAGTAAGGCTTTTGACACTGTTGCACATAGAAGGCTTATCAATAAAATGCAATCTTTAAGTTTGGATTCCAATATCGTTGAATGGGTAAGGCAGTGGCTGAGTGACAGGCAACAGAGCGTTGTAGTCAATGGAGTATATTATAAGCATGGGCCTGTCACCAGTGGGGTACCTCAGGGATCTGTACTTGGACCCATTCTCTTTAATATTTTTTTTAGTGATATTGCAGACAGTCTTGATGGTAAGGTATGAAAAATAGTAAAAGTTGTGGCAACTGACATTTAAGATGCAAGATAATGCATCTTGGACGTAAAAACCCAAGGGCAGAGTACAGAATATTCGATAGAGTCCTAACCTCAACATCTGAGGAAAGTGATTTAGAGGTGATTATTTCTAATGACTTAAAGGTAGGCAGACAATGTAATAGAGCAGCAGGAAATCCTAGCAGAATGCTTAGTTGTATAGGGAGAGGTATAAGCAGTAGAAAGAGGGACGTGCTCATGCCTTTGTACAGAACACTGTTGAGACCTCACTTAGAGTATTGTACACAGTACTGGAGACCGTATTTCCAAAAGGATATTGATGCTTTAGAGAAAGTTCAGAGAAGGGCTACTAAACTGGTCCAGGGATTGCAGGAAAAAACTTACAAGGAAAGGTTAAAGGAACTTAATATGTATAGCTTGAAGGAAAGACGAGACAGTGAGGATATGATAGAAACATTTAAATACATAAAAACATTTAAATACATAAAGGGAATCAACACAGTAATGGAGGAGACTTTATTTAAAAGAAGAAAAACTACCACAACAAGGGGACATAGTCTTAAATTAGAGGGGCAAAGGTTTAAAAATAATATCAGGAAGTATTACTGAGAGGATAGTGGATGCATGGAATAGCCTTCCAGCTGAAGTGGTAGAAGTTAACACAGTAAAGGAGTTTAAGCATGCGTGGGATATGCATAAGGCTATCCTAACTATAAGATAAGGCCAGGGAATAATGAAAATATTCTTAAAATTGGGCAGACTAGATGGGCCGAATGGTTCTTATCTGCCATCACATGTTTCTATGTTTCATCAGATTCAGATATATTGGAACCCTCTGGAGATTTTGAGATATTGGACCAGGTAGATTCCTGTGAGAGTGAAGGTGAAATGATTTCTGAGTCGCTGGACTCCAAATCAGTGGAGAAACTGGTTCTAATGGTAAGGAAGACACTAGAAATTCCTGAAGATACACACAATTCAGATAAGCATTTTGCAAAAGCTGTCTTTCCCGCACCATAGAGCCATTAAGGAGCCATTAATGAGATAGTGATGTCCGAATGAAAAAGACCAGAGAAACTTCTTCCCTTCCAGGGTAAACTGGCAAAGCTATATCCATTAGAAAAAGAGACCTTTAGGATGTGGATAACCCACCGAAGGTAGATGCTCCTATCTCAAGAGTGTTGAGAAAGGTGATATTACCTTTAGACAGTTCCGCTTCATTGAGGGAACCTATGGAAGTTGGATATTAACTTATCTAAAATCTATACGGTTGTATGAGCTTGCGGTCACCCAGCTGTGGCCCTTACTGCAGTGTCCAGATCCATGAAAAGTGTATTGAGAGAGCTGGACTCAGACGTGGAGAGAGGTGTCAAAAGACAAGATCTCCGTGACACAATTTGAGACCTACGTATGGCAACAGATTACCTGACTGAGACATCATTAGATATTACGAGGATATTCTCACGAACCATAGCCTTTTCTGTGGCTGACAGGAGAGCCTTATGGTTATGTTACTGAGGAGCGCATACTGCCTCAAAATCTAATTTATGCTCTATTCTCTTTGAGGGTAAGCTTTTATCTGGCAATGCCTTAGAAGACTCCATAAAGAAGGCAGCTGAAGGCCACAAGGTATTTTTACCACAAGAAAGAAGAGCTAGAAAACCAGATACTTCATGGTCAGACAGACGTCCTGCTAAAGACCCATATTTCAGAGACTCACGAAGCTACGGTAGAGAATTTAGTCGTGAAGGCCAATGGCGTAGAGGACAAGGTTTTTCCCACTGCTCTAATAGAACCAGGAACCAGTCCTTTTGTTTCTCAGGGAAGGGATTCTGACTATCTGCCAGAGGTTGGAGCCAGACTGTCCCTCTTCAGCAAGGTCTGGATGCATGGGCATTCGCGGGGGGGGGCTACATCTTATCCCTGCTTCTCTCTCCTGACCTAATCCGCAGAGGAGCAGCACAAAGTGCAGCCAACAGATCCCAGCCTGCAGGGCCTACAGATCAGGTAAGTGAGGGATGGGGGTGGGGGGGCAGTCTACAGATCAGGTAAATGAGGGGTGGTGGGGCAGCCTACAAATCAGGTAAGTGAGGCATGGGGGGAAGACTACAGATCAGGTAAGTGGGGGATGGGGGAGACAGCCTACAGATCAGGTGAAGGATGGCAGGGCAACCTACAGATCAGGTGAGGGATGGGGGGCAGCCTACAGATCAGGTAAGTGAGGGATGGGGGACAGCATATAGATCAGGTAAGTGACGTGTGAGGGCACAGCCTACAGATCATGTAAGTGAGGGATAGAGGGCAGCATACAGGAAGGGTCAGCAAGGAGCAGGAAGGTAAGGTAGGAGAAGGAGCAGAAAGTAGAAGGAACAGAAATGAGCAGGGAGGGATATCCAGAACCAGAAAGGGCCAACAATGAGCTGGAAGGGACAGAATGAGCAGAAAGGTACATAAATGAGCAGGAAGGGGCAGCAAGGAGCAGGAAGGAGCAGGGAGTGTCTGCAAGGAGCACAAATGTAATGTAGGAGAAGGAGCAGAAAGGAACAGAAATGAGCAGGAAGGGTCCTGCAAGGAGCAGGAAGGCACAGAAGGAGCACAAAGGTAAAAGAGAAGAACAAATCAGAAGGAGCACAAAGTAGGAGAAGGAGCAGAAAGGGGGCAGCCAGGAGCACAAAGGTAAAGTAGGAGAAGGAGCAGAAAGGAATAGAAATTAGCAGGAAGGGGCAGCAAGGAGCAGGAAGGGGCAGAAGGAGCGTCAAGGTAAAGTAGGAGAAGGAGCAGAAAGGAATAGAAATGAGCAGGAAGGGGCAGCAAGGACCATGAAGGGAAAAGAGGAGCACAAAGGTAAAGGGGCAGAAAGATTTAGAAGGAGCACAAAAGGTAAAGTAGAAAAAAGAGCATAAAGGGCCAGCAAGGATTAGAAATGAGCAGGAAGAGCAGAAGGAGTGCAAAGGTAAAGTAGGAAAAGGAGCAGAAAGGAATAGAAATGAGCAGGAAGGGTGTCATGTTTTTGACCAGGTCAGGTAGGAGACGATTGCCAGGGTTAACTAAAGAGGCTTTATTGGTAGGTTGTGACATATCAGCAGGATAACGTATTGAATGATATAATGAGAAGAAAAGTTAGAAATAAACGTTAAAGCAACATGCCCTATATAGATAATAAACAGGTTTACAATATAAGGAACAATAAGGCTTCAGGGTAAGAAAATAACACCTTGTAAATAAGACTAAGCAGCAATGTCCAGATAGCTGTTATCCAGGTTTGTATACATCAGGTAGGCAGGATAAAGCAGAGTTGAAAGTAATCCAGGTTGGTATGGAGCAGGGTTGGAAGTAAACCAGGTTGGCAGGATACAGCAGGGATGTAAGTTGGTAAGGAGTAGGGTTGGTTGCAAATCAGGTTGAAAGCAATGACGGTAAGTCACAGGTTGTTTTCACAGGAGCCAGGATCTGAAGTATTTTCAGTATGCTCATCAACTTCAATGTAAAGGACACTTGGTTTGTCGGGTGTGGCATTTTATAGCAGAACTTGACTAATGCTATGCAGGTGAGAGACTGTGGTGACTAGTGGTTAGGGAGTCCACTAGTGGTGGAGAAGTGGAACATGTTTTTTTTTTAAAGAAACAGTATCAAATAAAAAGAAAAGTCTTGCTTGTCAGGATAGGAACCTGACATAACTCCCTCCTTAAAGAGTGGACTCAGGATACAAAGATCTGAGGATAAACAAAACAAGAAGCAGAATAAAACTATTTACAGTCCCTTTGAAACAGAGAAAACTTACATTATCAGAGTCAATGAAGTCATTTCTTTTTTCTATGTTTTTTCTTCTTTTCTCTGTCTTTTAGCATCTGCTCAAATATGGCTAGGTCTTCAAGACGTACAATTGTATCGTTTGAAGCTCTGATGCGGTCAGGTGGTATTCTGTCTTTTCCATGAATCTGTAGTGTAGAGATGGGTTCTTTAGATGTAGACATTATTATACCCACCTTAGCTGGTTGATATGAAGAATAGCTAGGTTCTTGATAGTTGGATCTCCCAGCGTTTTTAGAATTCATCTCCTTCCTAGAATCCAGAAAACCTTCATATCTCTTGAGGTCTTCTCTTGGTATGATAGTACCATCACTGGCTTTTACAAAACCAGGGGCACCCGGGTGATGTTTAGCTTTATTCTTCATAGGAACTTTCCGCTTTTCTGCAGATTGGATGATGGGAGAGGTAGTCATTGTAGCCACTATAGGTTCTTCTCCACTCTCTTCCCCGTCAGAGGGTAATTCATCATTTACATAATTTTCATCTACTAGGTAAGGGAGTCATCTGAAGAGTAATGTGCTGGTATAGGAGTTTTCTGAGGAACAGATATGCAGTCTTTATAAACAGGAAGGTCAGGTTGAGAGGTCTGTAAGTTAGGATCAAAGTGAGATGAGTGTTTTGGAAGTTTCCTTGGACAGAATGAGATTCTGTGCCCTTGTTCACCACAATAAAAGCATGCATCCTCTTATTGTCTCTTTTGTATTTCTTCCTTTGTTAATAGCTCTCGTTTCCTGATTTTCCTGGAAGGTAAGACATTCTCAGTCTTTTTCTCAGGTGATATGCAGAAGCTTGATTGCAACAAGTAAGAAATGGATTTACACATTTCCGAAAGACACACAGCAATAATTGTCAGAACACCTGTTAACCCTGTAGTCTCCAGTTTAAGGCCTTTACATTCAGTCATGCTCTTAATCAGGTCAGGTAGGAGAAGATTGCCAGAGTTAACTAAAACAGAAAAATTACACCATTCTCACCGATATTTTCTTTTCCTGGATATATGCCATGGCAGCACTACGTATGGGTATAGCTCCTCTCCTTTTCAATTGGACAGGAACCACCTCCTCATTAATTATTAATGAGACTTCCTCCCCTGTCCCTTCAGTCTTAGCAAAAAAGCCACAAAAAAAATAATTAATAATTTAGAAAGGGTGGGACCATAGTGTTGGCATTGGCATATATCCGGGAAAAGACAATATCGGTGAGTATGGTGTACATTTTCTGTTTTCCCCTGATATATCCATGGCAGCACTACGTATGGGTTATACCCAAGCCGAAATGTACAAGGGAATAGGAAATAAAAACCAACCAACAAACTCCCTAGTCAATGCAAATCAAAACTCTTTATTTACAAATTAACTATAAGGCAGCGGGAGGACACTTCTACCAAATCCCGTAGTAGAGGATCGAACTACGTTCAGATGATAGTGATGAATAAATGTGTTAAAGGAGGACCATGTTGCTGCTGAACAAATGTGGTCCTGAGAAATGTTGCCTGCAGGTGCCCATAAAGAGGCCAATGATCTGGTGTAATGAGCGCAAAAACCTTGTGGAACTGGAACCCCGGAAGCTGTGTAAGCTTGACTAATGGCTGAGATTATCCATCGGCCAATAGAAGTAGAAGAAGCAGCCTGACCCCTCTTGTATCCTGAAGGAATAATTTCAGAAGTACGGTTCAGGTAAGCAGACAAACCATGAACCAGATCCAGACAACGCCATTTCTCTTCTTCTTCAGATGAGGGATGAGGGGAAAAGGCTGGCAAGATGATGTCTTGATTCATATGGAATGAGGATACTACTTTAGGTCGAAATGTTGGAACCGTACAAAGAATAACTGTCTTCTTGCAGAATTAAAAAGGGAGATTTGCAGGAAAGTGCTCCAAAGCTCTGAAATTCTTTTACCTGAGATCAGTGCAACCAGAAGAACAGTTTTAAACATTAGTGTCAGCAGAGAAATATTATCTAAGGGTTCGAATGGAGTATCAGACAAGGTCTGCAAAACCAGTGGTAAGTCCCAAGGAGGGGAGCAAGACCTTACAGGAGGGCATAGCTTGAGGATGGCTTGAAGAAACCTTCCCACATCTGGATTTTTGATCCAACAGAGCAGAAAGAGCTGATATCTGTACTTTCAAGGAACTGAGGCTCAGACCCTTATCAAATCCATCTTGCAAGAATTGAAGGACATCACTGATACTGGGAGACAGAGAAATTTAATGGGCCATACACCAGCTATAGAAGATGTCCCATATCCGATAATAAGCTGACAAAGTAGATTTATTTCTGGCATTAAGCAGGGTACTGATTACTGAAGTAGAGAACCTTTACTGGAGAGGTGTTGCTTTTCAATTTCCATGCCATCAAATTGAAAGACTGAGGAGATGGGTGAAAGACTGGTCGTTGGTGCAGAAGAAGATGCTGATCTGAGAGATTCAGAGGGAGGTCCTGAGAAAGCTTTTGCAGCAGGGGAAACCAAGAGCATCTGGGCAAACAAGAGATTACTACCAGAATCATTGCTTTCTCTTGAAGGATCCTCCTCAAAAGGGGGAAAACCAGGGTAGTTGGGGAGGGGGGGAACATACTGCAGATGGAACTTCCACTCGCAACAAAGAGCATCCTGGTCCTCTGCCAAAGGGTCTAAGTAATGCGAGAAGAACCTTTTCACTTTGTGATTCTTTGCTGTGGCCTTCAGATATACTTGAGGAAGGACCCACTTCTGGACTATGCGTTTGAACGCCCAGTTCCACGCCACTTTCTTGGGTCTGCATTATGTAAAGATAGAAGCGGCAGGGGTCAAGAGTTACTCTGCTTAAGAAATCTGCAACTTGATTGTTCTTGCCCAGGAGGTACACTACCTTGATCCCCTTCAAATTATTTTCTGCCCAGGACATCAAGGGAGTCAATACCTTAATAAAAAAAAGTTTGCTCTTTGTACCCCCCTGGTGGTTGATGTAGGCCACCACGGAAGTATTGTCTTGGTTCAGGTCTTTGTTTGCAAACTGGGATAAAATTCTTCTTGAAGAATCCTCATTTGCCATTGGGCCCACCTTGTAAGGCCTATTTAAGAGGACAAGCTTCCCAGAAGGCTCATGAATTATCTGGCTGGAGTTAAGGGAAAGAAGGTGAAGGATTTTTGACTGGATACGATGCCCTCTGTCCAAGGATAGGGAGACTTGTGACTGAATCATGTCGAATCTCGTACCTAAGTACACCATAATCTGAGAAGGAGACAGCTGACTCTTCTTGAAATGTATTATCCATCTGAAATTTTGAAGTAGAAGGAGAACTCAATGTCGATGAAGAAGGAGCTGATCCCTGTTGTATGAGAGGATCAAGATGTCGTCGAGATAATGGAATATCGATATGCCTTCCATACGGATGTGAGCTATTAATGAAACAAGGATCTCCAAGAAAGTTCTGGGAGCTGTGCTCAAACCAAAGGGAAGAGCCGGAAATTGGAATGCTGGTGGCATTATTGCAAACCTCAGGAACTTCTGGTGTGGTGGAGCAATTGGAATGTGAAAATATGCATCTCAAAGGTCTATGGAGATTAACCAATCCCCTTGGGAGACGGCTTTGATAATGGAACTTAAAGTTTCCATCTTGAGTTTTCTCACACACAGATCTACGTTTAACTCGTGAAGGTCTAAAAATCGGTCTCCATTCTCCCGATGCCTTTGGAGTAAGGAATAGTCTGGAATAGACTCAGAATCCTCTTTCTTTTATGGGAATAGGGCAAAGTACTCCTTCTGCTGAAAGGGAAGTTATAAAAGAATGAGCGGCTGCTGCGTTCTAGAGGTATGCTCGTAGACACAAATCGGGTGTGATGAATAGTGGAGAATTCCAGGGAGTAGCCATATTTTAGGATCGTCGGCACCCACTTGTCTTGATTATCCATCCGAAATTGAAATGTCTTCTTCGAGATCGTCAATCCATTGCTTTAAGGCTCTGGAAACGGATGTCAAGGCCACAGCTGGACAAAGCCCAGAGCCAGAGTCAACATAGGCTTTAGATAAGTTAGAATCCATACATTTATCTATGGGATCACGTAATGATCTGGCATTTTCCACTAGAAGGGTAGTCTTTTTCGTTAACTGGATAATTGCTGCATCCAATTTAGGGGCACAATATCCCAATAAACATTGTCATCAGATTTAGAAGGGTAAAGTTTAGAAAAACGACCCTGAATAAAAACTATTTTCTCAGATTTTTTCCATTCTTGTTTAATAATGGCATCAATGGCCTCATGCAACGGAAAAGTAGGATTGCGCTTTCTTGGGTCTGCAATATGTAAAGATAAAAGCGGCAGGGAGCAGTTCCACGCCACTTTCTTGGGTCTGCAATATGTAAAGATAGAAGCGGCAGGGAGCAGCTCCACGCCACTTCGTAAGCCCTCCATGTCCTCCCTCACTATATGAGGGTCAATATGACCCCCATAATAGCATAAGGAAGAATAAAATTTCCCGAATGCCCCTACTCGCTATACCACAAGCAGGGGCATGTCTACTAAACAGTGAGCAGCCTATGGCTGCTCACTGTTAAAAACAAAAAACAAAAAAAACCATCGTACCCCCCCACCCGTGCGGCAGCTAGGGGCCCTAAAGGATAATGAGGGGGGACCTAATGTCCTCCCGCCGGCCCCCACCCTTGAATGTTGGGTGGGGATCCTAAACGATAATAAGATGGGCAAACCTATTGTCCTCTCCCCCCCGGCCCCTAACCCTGAGCCATGGGTGGGGGCCATAAAGGAAAATGAGGGGGGAACTATTGTCCTTCTCCTGGCCCACACCCCTGAGCAGTGGGTGGGGGCCATAAAGGAAAATAAGGGGGGGACCTATTGTGCTCCCCCCCGGCCCCCACCCCTGAGTGGGGGCCATAAATATCTGCCAGTAGGTGTGTGTGTGTGTCTGTCAGTGAGTGTGTCAGTGAAAGTGTGTGTTTTTTTGTCAGTAAGTGTGTGTATGTCAATGAGTGCATGTGTCTCTGAGAGTGTGTCTGTGTCAGTTTATGTCTGTCAGTGAACATGTGTGTCAGTTAAACAGTGTGTGAGAAAATGACTGTATGTACGTGAGTGTGTATCAGCGAGGGCATGTTGTTTGTCAGTCTGCCCATCCACACTGTCATTCCAACATCTGCCGCCCATGCTGTTACCTTCCTACACACTACACTCCCACACTGTCACCTACCTATACCCGGGCCCCACACTGTCACCTTCCTACACACTGCCTTCTCTTCCAGTGCACAGGAAACAGGCAGGTAGGAGGGGTTAAGCTCAATTTAACTTAAACGGCTCACCACTCCTTCACTTATCCAACAATACATGCACTACACTACATCCACTAAATCCACTACACAGACACTGCATCCACCATAAAAACACTAGATACACTATACACACTGATTTCACTACACAAACAAA